TTGTGGTCTAGATTCAATACAAACATCTTTTTTTCATGCGGCGAAATATGGTGYTGTTAGTGTTGAAGCTAGACCACAATGTACCGTAATTTTCTATTTCAGAAAAAGTCTATGGACTAAACTAAGGAGATAATTCTATATGTATATATATACATATATGAAAAACAACATTGTACTTAATTACCTCAAACGTGGGCTATATAAAGCAATATTCATTCCTCGAGCGAAGGCCCTCGGATATAAATGGCTTACAGCCTCCGTTAATTGGTAATTTACTCTCGCGTATATATTCAATATTGCAATACTGATATAATAACAAAAAACGTACTGTACAGTAGGCTGAGACTGGTTCAACATCCATGCTTCGTAAGGTACACCCAGTTCTGGATTATCTAAAATAGGAATGAACTTTGTTAGCAAGAATTTTGAACTTACAAAATTGTGTTCTCTATAATAAAGCAATAAATTGATTCCTTTAAAACGGGGATTGATGCAYTGGCACTTATTTTTGCCCACCGTTATCATAAACCACCAAAAACAGCATATTTTTTWAAGTTTGTTTTGTAAAACTGTTATTCAAAAAAATGCTCCATGAGAATTATGTTCATTTTAGTGTGTAAATTATATCTGAATTATTTTAGGAAAACCAGRATGAGTGCAAATTAAACCTATAACTAGTCTATGCTAAAGAGTGATTGGGCTAATATCATCAATACAGTTAATTAGTTCATTTSTTTGATGTTTGTACTCGGCATTTAATCACTTGTGCATATATACAAAATGAGGCAGTGAAGTGCACTGACAGAAATTTAGACAAATCAATTTCGACTTGTCCCGACTGCGTCAACAACGTGGCTAAATCCACGGTCCTTTATCAAGGACGATCTAAATCCTGTCAATACTAGAATGGCAGATGTCAATCATAGCTAGGTGTWRCATGGTTTGATATGTAAGGTARCTGTCTATGTATGTCTATGCTCTGAACTTGCGACTGTTTTGTGTGTATGCGTGCCAACGATGGCAGATTACTGAGTTTTCTTTTTGATTCTGTGGCTTTGTCTCTCCTYTATAAACAAAAAGGTGCTTTTCTAGACTCACTGTACCATTTCTGAAGTAACCCAAGCTCAGCTGCTTCACAAAGACTTCATTCACAAAGTCGTCCTCGTGTGAGCTGGTAATGGAGAGAAGATCACCACCTAACGACTGACAATGTTTACGAGCWTCGGTCCAGTTCTTCTTSTCTGTAAATAGCTTGAGAGAAGCATCTCCATAGCGACGCCATCCATTGCCCAAATCTACAATCATTACAAGATATGTTCATATTTTGGATTTGAAATCATTCTGGGATCACAAGTTTATCAACAGCTATATTGACAATCAATTGGAATTTTTAAATCACTTATTATAGAGACAATTAAATTTTAATATTTGAAGATTTTGTGCATACCTTCTTTTCTCTTACATTCGTACAAATTGCATGCTTGAACACCTAGCGTCTACAAATAAAATGTGATGTCAACAGTTAGATTTAACCTACCCTGCCATCGATTGGAGGTCGATATTGATAATCACCACTTGAATGYCTCAAGTCGAAGCAACGGCTTGGCTAAATGGCAATATCTCACCTAATACACCTTTTTCCCGTTCAAAGCGACCAACCGCTGTTTAAGTTGACAACAGTCTCTCATGCACAGAGACCTTACCAAAACAAAAGAAAACACGAATTTTTTTTTTTTTTTTTTAATTACACAATAGCTCCACGATTTGATCTGCTGTGGGAATACAGTCTGAACCTCAAATCGGAGAGGATTCAAATTTCTAGAGCTATTTATTGATGTCAACATTTTTTCGTTCTTTCTTTTGTTCTCTACGTAATTGAGTCTACTAAAACTGCGAGCGCTCGCATTGAACTGGAAAAAAGGCTTATTAAAAAATGTTGTCCAAGAAAAATGTCTTCTGCTATTTAGGAGTCAGTTAAAATACAAGCGAAAGTGCTCAGCTTCAGCATTCATCTGTTTTTTTATGCATTCCAAAGATTTTAGAACGGTTTTGGAAAGGTACTTGAATTACAGAAGTTACTAAGCGTGCGTATACATTCTAAATTTGCGAGTTCAATGATACAGCTACGTCTTTTTAAAACACTTTACAAGTTCTCTCTTCGCAGACCGAAATGTCCCTATCTATATAGAATGAGCTCTTAATAAGATTTACTTTTTTAAGTCGTACCGTCATTTCATGATAAGACCATCCTTCTCTCTCCACCATCTTGTGTGGATTTGCTTTCTTACTCGAGTTATTCAATTGGCATTCAAATATTCCTTGACTTGTTTGGTGAACATTTATCGAGAAGCACCATGGCAACCAAACGCAATCATTCCAGCAGAGACTCTTTAAGTTTTTGGTTACGGTCTTGATCACGTGACCCTCAAGAGATTCATAGCTTTCAACGAAGCGGTACACTTCACAGCAAAATGTGAATTGTAGATTAATTGCAGACAAAATGTACAGGAGATTGAGAATCTGAATCAAATAGGTAAAGTCAGTTTTATTTGTTCCTAAAGTTATTTTCTAGAACTAGTCAGAATTACTTGGTCAACAACTGCAATAAGCTATTTAATAAATTATCCAAATAGAATTTAGTATTTATGCAAAGTTTTATATCTTTTTACCATTAATATTTTCTATCTATCTAGCATCATATTTTTAGTGTTACTTATAATGTAGTATGCACATATATATAATATTGTAGTTTATATTGTTATGCTCAGGGCTCCCATTGATAACAGATTGCTTTTTGCATCGKATGGGGCTACCCTGAGCGGTATAAGTTAATAAAGGTTTATCTATCTATCTATCTATTGCAATGCGGGGTTGTCGAGGATTCAAAGTCTGTATTCAGGGGCGGATCCAGCATTTTATAASGGGGGATGCTTTTGTCAGTAATATATATAGCTAAAAACTAGAGCATTGCGTATTGTCAAGGGCAAGAAAATTTTGCACAACATAAATTGAATCAAATGTACTTTTTTTGTAAGGTATCTTGTTTTGACTACACTACTCTCAGACGACGTAAAATATGTAGAACAAAAACCATCTATAGTCAACCAACAGCGCGTCGTTTACGAATTTCAATGTGACATTTGTGATAAAAGCTATGTGAGTTATACCCTCAGACACCTACACGAACGCTGCGATGAACACAGTCTTAAAAGCTCAAGCATTGGAAAACACTTCATTAAAKACCACCATTTCATACCAGTTAACATCTCTAAATATTTCAATGYTTTGAAGAAATGTAAGTCAAAATTTTGACTGTCTGGTTTCTGAAAAGCTCTCTACATGGGAGATTTAAAACCTACTCTCAATGTTCAAATTGACTCGATAAAAGCAAAACTATTCGCTGACACTTAAATGACATTGTTTATTTAAACAATTGTTTTTCATAACATTACATTATGCTAATCATGGTCTTATATATATTTGTACTTATTTTCATTCATTTTGTATCACYTGATAATGGAATCACGATGACCCCGAAACGTAGTGAATTAAATCTGCTACTTATACGTTTCGTTTCCTYAAATTTTACGTATCAAACAATTGCCTAACATTCGCGCGGGCTACCTGTGTCTTTTGTGGGATTCCTTATTTTCAAGGATGGGAGGGGACTAGGACAAAATTATAATGGCCGACATGTTGAAAAGCGATTTCTCTGCAAATTCTGTAAGTTTTAGCCAYTTTAAAGCACTAAAAGGTGGAAAAAAACTTGAAAAAAACTTTCTAACGTACTTCCTTATAAGGTAAGATTACCATATATGGTCAGCAAAAGTTTGTCAAACGAATGAATTTTTTTCTCTGAGGCAATTGTTTGATATGATACTCAAATAGATTGTTAAGTAACATAGTGACAGACACATGTTGTATTATGCTACTCATTTTCTCCATAAGATTACAACAGGAGTATAAACAGYAGGAAAAAACAAGGGATGCGTCCATACCCAAAGCCATATCAAACTTATTGCCATACATCGGGTGACATTTGCTTAGMTGTCTTAGATTAGATCTTTTGATATGTTATAAATGAAGAGGCCGAAAAAGAGCACGAATWCGGCATTTTTTAAAAGAATCAAAAATTTATCTAACAATTTTACCACCACCTCCAATTCTGTCGGCCAGTGCTTTTTCGGA